CAAATTGTTCAATTCGATAAAAATGGAGATCCAAGAAATCGACATTTGACAGCGTTCGTTCAGGTACTCTTGTTGGAAATTGTTGCTGAGTTCAGTTAGGGTTTTTTAAAAGTTTTATTCATATGATAGCAAATCGGCCGATGGCTGCCTAAACAGAAGTTGTTATTTGAAGTAGCATTTTAATGTGACATATATAATATTTGTGAAAAATTTCATCAGATTGATGCATAAATATTTTTTTGTGATCCTTCATCAATAAATTCTATGCAGACCCGAGGTTCGATACCGTTGTTTTGGTCGCAACGTCCCAATCTCCGCTGGCAACCCGAACCAATGATGAAGCCAACTGACGATCAATTAAATGCGTACGTTAGTCATATGATCTTGCAGCGTCAGGTCTACGGTGGACAACATGTTGGTTTATGTTTTTTGATGGTTTCATCTGAACTAATTGAATTTTATTCTGTTTTCACTCATGACAAATATAAGCTGATCTATTGATTGAGAGTGTGGCGATCAAAACTTGTTTTATTTTGTCTTTATTGTTTTACGGGGTACTATTATTTCGTTGTTTTGTATTTGTCATACTTTCGGTCTTTATCACAAACATAATGGTTATCCATTCAGGTGATTGTGAATCTCGTAAATCAACGAGGACGTGAGAGGCGATTAGGTGGTGAATTGGAACGTGTGGCACTTCAAGCTAGTCTTCCCTTCGTTAGGTAGCAAATTTTTCGAATTCTTTGAAATGTTTCTTCAATGGGTGTCGGGGTATATTTCAGTTATGATCTGCAATGTGGAAAAGGGTCGTTCGAAGTTATCGTTTTCATTTTATAGGAGAAATTGTATAGACTCATCATTTTTTCTCATCGTTTGCGAGCTTTCTCTTATCAGTGACTGAGTGGTTTAGTTAATGCAGACTTCAGGAGATCCATGCAGTTTGAAAAGTGTTTCAGTGGGATATTTTTTATTTTTGAAATTTCCAGGCATAACCCTTTCGATTTCCACAAGGAATGTCATGCGATGAACTGGGCGAGAATATCGATTTTGAAAGATCAACTGCGCAATGAGATCACTCAGTTCGGGTGAGTTGTTCTGATGGACCGTTTTCCAAAAATCAGTTTGAGATGATTACGAATGAATATTTTCATTATTTTGATGAATATTTCAGCTGAATTTTTCAATTGAAGCATACGGACTTTTCGAAGTGATTCATTTGATTTGTTGTTGTGTTCCTTCAAGTAAATGCGATTATTTCAATGAACGCGTTCTGTTCAGATTCTTCTCGTCGCCACTGGCTCACCCTGAGCGTAGCCGTCAGCAAACGGGCGTGTTCCGGACGAATTGCATGGACTCGTTGGACAGAACGAATGTTGTGCAATCGATGATCGCGAAGGTTGCTCGTCTTCTTTCGTATTTTGCAATTGTTGTTTGTGCAGAATATGAACTGAGTTTGATCAGAGTATTAACTATTTAATTGCACTTTATAGGAATCTCTGAAAGATCAACTCACATATATGGGTATAATCGGTAGTGGGATTTACACGTTGGACGATTTTCCTGATCTCATCAAACTGTTCAAAAATGGTCAGTTTTAATACTGAAATTGGATATATTATCGAGTTGATGCTCGTGAAGTTCGTGTGAATTATGATGATTCTTGCAATGATTTTGAAGCGCGTAATTTTCCGCTCGAAAGTGACCGAATAAGCGATTCGACGCAGCAGTTGATTAGGATTTTCTTTTTGCAGTATGGGCAGATAATGGCGATGAGTGCAGTCGACAGTATGCTGGAACTGGCGCTCTGAAAGTATGTTTGAAATTGGTTGTTTGGTTAGATTATGCACTTGACTCATATGGCTGTTGTATGATGCTTCGGCTTGTGTGGAAATCTCATTTCACTTAGTTATTCTGTTTTGAGTTATATTAGTAATTCGTTCGAAATTTGAACGTTGGATACGGTGGTACCAATTGGTGACAGTTGTGAGATCAATTATGATAGCAAAGGCAGTGGTAATAACAATGATCAAGAAATCATTGCTATGACAGTAATAACGATAGCAGTGAGAAAGCTGATTGTGATCATAACGAAGGTAACGATAAAGAAGAAGGCAATTGTGATTTTGCTTCGTGGAGAGATGATGAGCGCGATTTGCAGGCCGATTTTACACGTTTTGGAAAGCGAACTTACGGTGGTTGCTGGAACGATCTCGTGAACGCACTGACGCGATACTTTCGGAATAATTTCGCTGATGGTTATCGACAGGTATCGATTCGCTCATTTCGAGTTTATCATTTGATCAGTTCCAGACGCATTTATTCATTTGGCGATTCTTTCCTGCATTCGTCTTAAACATCATGCTTAGTTGATGCCCAGATGTAGCATGGGAGAGCATGAGATTTGTCGGAAATTGTTTGTGGTTGAAAGTGTTGATTTCAGGACGCAATCGATCTATTCTTGGGTAATTTCCGGGTTGATCCAGAGAATTTACCGGCAACATTTGAAACGACCATCCTGAATTTTGACTATCACGGTGGTGCGATCGCAGGCGCCATCTTTGCGGCAGCAATGACGATTCTTTGCGTTTTGGTCGCAGGTACCTGAATAATCTTTTACTCATTCTTGAATATAAGATTAAACGTCATTTACATCCGATTTTTAAAAAAATGTTTTTAAAAATGTATCATTCGATTCGATATCATTTTTACAGTTCGAAAGTTTTCAGACAACATGACCGCAACAATATTTTGGTTGGTGATCTTCATGGCTCTGATGCTGTTCATCTTTATCAACGGAGAAGAATTTGTGAACCGCCCGAAGCTGAAACTAGAATAATAGAATTTTATGTTGTGTTTATAGAGAACGTTGTGTTGTTGTTCTTTATTTGTTCATTGCATTGTATTATTCACGTTTACTTGTCTGTATGGTGTACTATTGGAATATGATTTTTACATTGAAAATGTGCAAACAGCATTCGAAAAAATGGCACAAGTTTTTCGGAGTTTTTGAGCGTCGATATGAGGTGCTGAACTCGATTGAGACGTAACTGTGATGACGGTCTATGCTTGAGTTTAAGTTTTACGTTGGAAATCTGGATATTATGAAAAAGAAACGATCAATCACATAGGTGAATATGAATATGAGAATATTTTTGAAGTAAAAATTAGATTATGAAAAGTGACTGAATGTTGTTTGTTATTGTGTGCATTGTTGTTATTTATGAATGGAAATTACTGCTGAATTAGGAAGGGTTTTATAGGGCGATTTATTTTTTGAAGGTGCAATGAAGAATTTGAACTGAATTTTTGATTCGTTACGTTTGTGTTGCCCAAACAAATTGCAGAAATGTGATGCGTAATTATAGAATTGAATATGTTGAAGGGGTTATCTTTTTTTCATTTTTAAGGGAATTATTGAGCCCTCTAAAGCGTTCACATTGACCTTTCAGCTAAAAGAGGAATGAATTGGTTATCGTGACTGTCGTTTATCTTTCTCTTCCATGAGAAGAGAATGGGGGGATTGTTTTTGCTCTTTTGGTCTTTTCTGATCGCCAAAATCGCCAAATTTCTGATCTTTTTAGTTTCATCATTTTGGTCGAAATTCTGGCGTAACAATTGAAGGAAGAAGACTAAAAATTGGGAGGGTTTTCCAGTTGGTTCAGCTTTGAAATCTTGAAAAGTTTGTTCAATTGTGCCTAGGAAATGTGATCGTAGTGAATATTTGAGGATATAGTTGAATTAATTGTTAATTGTGATTCTTACAGCTAAATTAATTCATAGGACTCATTTTTAATTCTGTCATTACTATAGTCATTTGTAACTGTTCAATGATCTGATAGAAACTTTTCAATGATGTGTAAAAAACTTCATTTTATACGATTTCCTTAATCTTTTGTCATTCTTATTTGATTTGTTCATGTTTATTACCTTTTTTTGGCGAATCATTTAATATTTTGTTCAATTCACACATCCCACTGATAGTTTCCGCGCATTGAATGATTTGAAAATGCTTTTTATAATTTGTTTTGCAGCAACAACAAAAGTGATATTTCGTGATTTAGGTAGGAATTTGTACGATGAGTTTTGTTATTGTACATTAAATGGATGTTCTTGATTATTTCGAATAAAAGCACTTATTCTGTAAAACATTGTCCACCTACTAGAATTTTTTTCTTCATTTTTCAATCAGTTTTCGCAAATGCTCGAATTCATTTTTCGAAAAGAGTGGGTAAATCACCGAGATTTTTTTAGAATTCTTTTAGATTATTTTTAGATCTAAAACATTTTTAGATTTTTAGTAAAAATAAAAATTTTTCGAAAGAAGAAATTCTGCTCGATCGAACCATGTATGAATATTGATATGT